TACCATGGACTGCTAGGAAAACAAACGGATTTATCCTGCAAAGGGTTAAACCGGATGGCTCCTTGGAGGAAAGGATTCTGAGGCTCCGTCTAACATACTTTGGACATGTTGTGAGGAGAGACCAGTCCTTGGAGAAGAACATCATGCTTGGAAGGGTGGAGGGACAGTGCAGGAGGGGAAGACCCTCTATGAGTGGATTGATTCAGTGACTGGGATAATCGGGAACGGAGTGTCAGAGACAGTGCAATTGGCACAGGACAGAGCAGAGTTTAGGGCTGTTGTACACAGGGTCGCTATGAGTCGCAAGCGACTCGACGGCACATAAGAACAACAACATAGCAACCCTATGAACTAAAGTCTTCGACTCTTGTGTGACTTTCATCCTTTCTCCAGTTTATAGGGTTTCCGGAGGCAAGCTATTTACGGAAGTAGATGCCACTCCTGCTTCCAAGCTTGTTTCAACCAGGGAGTGCTAGGAAACACTGTCCACAATGGGTAACCATTATCACATCTGACACCTCGGTATCACAGTGTTCAGCATCACAGCAACCACAAGTTACCTCTGTATGGTAAATACCTTGTAATCAATTAAAAAAAAAAAAAAAAAAAGCACCTTCCGGGCATTCTCTGCTATCAACCACTATCTAATCAATAGCATGAGTCTCCATCTGATGGCTTCTTCTGGATCTAGACGAAATTTTTAACAATTCCTTATCAGTGTACTTTTTCAAAGGTTTTTCAACTCATTTTAGCAATGTTTCACTTCCGTGAAATACTAAGTGACATCAGTTGATAATTTCCACATTTTGTTGGATTTTTTTTTCTCCAGAATGGGCATAAAAATGAATCTTTTCTAAATGGTTGGCTAGACAGTTGTGAGAGCTCATCCAGAGCTGTTTGAGTTTTTTGTTGTTGCTGTTGTTGAAACACATCAACTGAGAATTTATGGCTTACTGGAGCCTTAATTTTCACCAATGCTTTCAGTGACCCTTGCACTTCTTCCTTTAGTATTGCTGGTTCTTGATCATATGCCGTCTCCTAAAATAACTGGAAAATGTGCAAAGATTTGAAGGTAGAAAGCCAAAAGGGAAGAACACATTTGGTACTTCTCAAACAAAAAGAAGTTAAGAAAAACTTGAGCTTTGAATTCCAATAGTGAAACAATTTAGTGGCAAAATCCTGAATGACACAGGAACCATCAAGAGGTATAAGAATAATGAGGCTAATAAAAACAGGTCAATAAAAACTGACAACATAAACAGACAATGAGGAATGGTAAAATTCAACATATGATCAAATTGATGACACAAATCACAAGTTAGGGATGGATGACAGTAGGAGAATAAGGAAACTTCAAAACAGTAGAAAACAAGTGAAAAGCATTACCCATCTTACATCATGTTGCTGTTGTTGTTATGGGCTATCGAGTGGACTCCAATTCATGTACAACAGTTCTGAACCCTGCTCTATCTTGAGCCAACTTCATTGTCTCTGACACATTTACCTCCATTACCCCTCCATTACCCTCTCACTGAATGAATCCATCTCATCAAGGGTCTTCCTCTCTGTGCTGTCACTCTGACCTTCCAAGTATAATATCCCTCTGCAAGGACTGGTCGCTCCTTGCAACATGCCCAAAATACGTCAGACAGAGCTTCAGAATCCTTGACTCCAAGAAGCAGCTGGGTTTCAGGCTCTTCAGGATGAACTCATTCGCTCTCTTAGTACTCAATGGTATATTCAATATTCTTCTCTTGCATCCCCACTCAAAGGCATCAATTCTTCTATTATCCCTAGTCACTGTCCAGCTCTCTGATGAACACCAAGTGATTGCAAAGACCATGGCCTCAATCAGGCGCACCTTAGTATCCAGACTGACTTTACTGCTCTTCAGTATTCTGGAGAGGTCCCCGACAGCAGATTTTTCCCAGTGCAATTCATCTTTAGATTTCTTGGCTGCTGGTACTAAGTATTTTAAAATGACAACAATTTATAGAGAAAGATGACAAAAAGGAAAAAAAAAATCTTAACGTTTTAGGAGATACAAAGACCTCATGAGAATAAAAATATAACAAATTTAAAGTATTGGAGAATATTATTAAATTTACAAAACTTGGTGGTTCTATTTCAGCAGCATACTGAGCTAAATAAAGCAGACTTAATAGGACCTAATTACCTTCACATATTCCAGTGTTAACAGATCTTCCATTACATTATCCAACGTTGTAATGATATAAACTGGATTCTTTTCATCATCTAAAAATAAATTTTTAAAAAATTATCCTTTCACAGGAAAACTCTAAACAAAAATAAGCACAACATTAATAGTTTTGAGTTAGAAAAGAAAGCTTCTCTGTGTCAGTTCTGCACCTCAAATTCTTTCTTACCCAAGTCAGTTATCATCATAACTCTAAAAATCTATTTCTCTTTATCATTCACTTCCCTTCTTTTGTGCTGTAACACTAACATCTCAAGTCAATCAAAATCAAGAGAGGAGCATAAGAAAATATTAGTAAATAAAGAAAAATTAGAATGATTAAATGAAACAAAAAGACACGAGAATTCTGGCCCTGTCATGAATGGATTCTGAAACAAGTTAAGCCCATTTTTTTCAGACAGATAACACATATGAGCGGAAGTAATATTTGTGTGTACTACCAGAGATAATAATAAATCTTATTAAATTAGGCTATATGCCTCTCAAAACGTAAGAAATTAAGTGGGAATACACATATAAAAGATTATTTTGCAAAAATATTTTATTAATTGAGTGAATGTTTGCAAATCATGTTGGTTTTTCATACAATCATTGATAGCATTGAAGTTTTTATACATTATCATCAACAACTTACTTACAGGTCAAATAAAGTATTCTCTAAGCAACATCAGCTCACTATTTTCTTCACAACCATCAAAGAGACAACTGCATCCCAGCCCCAATATAAGTGAAAATAGGCAGAATGTATCCCAGTATTACTAAAGAGTATCTATCCTACATGCACGATCTAACAAAACAAAAAAAAATAGATGGAATAAACCAAGACACATCAACAATACAAGCAACCTGAAAGTGTCACAAAGACAAAAGACTTCAAAACAAGGACAAGACAAACTAATGGCCAAAGTGAAAAATGTGGAAAACTCCAGGAGGTAACAGAGCTCCTGATAAGGAATTCAAAGACATATTTAGTGTATTCAAAGATTTGATAAAAACTACATTTAATATTGAAGTAAAACCAGAAAAAACCTTAGAAGAATTCAGGAAAACAATACAAAAGCAAAATAATAAAAGAAATAGGAAATTTAAAATGATACAAAAGTAGGAACTGGACATTAAGAAGATTAAAACTAAAATTTTTGAGCCACATAAAACATTGAAAAAGAAAAAATATTAATTTGTGACAATACTTTAATATCAACTTGTATGATAATCTGAAAAGAGAATGAAGTAAATAAGCCTAAAATATATATGAGACACTCTTAACAAAAAATTTACATGAGATCAAAGAATGCCAGAAGGAGACAAACAATATTTCAGAGAAAACTGCCAAAAATTTCTAGGGGAAAACTCAGCTCAATTAACCTCATTAGAAGGGTGACCCCCCAAAAAAGTTTCCAAGAAATAACACAATTAACATTTGAAAAGCAAATACAAAGAATCTCTAAAACAGCTTAGGAGAAAACAACTATGAGATATCATCTCACCCCAGTCAGAATAGCATAATTTAACAGAACAGCAAGCAACAAATGCTGGTGAGGTTGTGGAGAAACTGGAACCCTTATTCACTGTTGGTGGGAGTGTAAAATGGTGCAACCACTGTGGAAGGTGGTATGGCGCTTTCTCAAAAAGTTACAAAGAGAGATACCATTTGATCCAACAATTCCATTACTGGGAATATATCCCAAAGAGACCATAACTGACATCCAAGAAGATATATGAACACCCATGCTTACTGCAGCTTTGTTCACAATAGCAAGGAGTTGGAAACAACCTAAGTGCCCATCAACAAAAGAATGGATAGAGAAGCTCTGGTATATTCACACAATGAATACTATGCTGCATTGAAAAACAAGGAACTCATGCAATATTATTCAAAATGGGTGACTCTGGAGGACATTATGCTGAGTCAAGTATCTCAGGCACAAAAGAATAAATACTGCATGGTGCCACCGTTGTAAAACAGGACTGACCTTGGGGTTGGGGAGAGCCTGAGAAAGATGAGGTCAATAATGTATACTGCATTGAAACAGATGAGGGAGAAAACTGTTTAAAAGGGATATGTGATTAGGTATTTTTGTCATGACAGGAGTCTAGAGCAAAGGCTACATGGTGGAGTAGACCTGGGGGAGGGTTTGTAAAACAATGAAAGAATTTTTCTTTTACTTTTCCAAGAGGGTCGTGTACTAGGGGGAAGGGTTGGGAGGGGAGAAAAGTGCAACAATGAATGAATGGAAATCCAAAGTCTCTGTAAATTTTTACTGAAATTAATAATAAATTTAAATTTAAAAAAACAAAACTGGGGGGGGGACCCAACAGCTGAGGAGAAAGAATGTGCTGCCTACAATGATCAACCAATAAGACCAAGTTCTGCTTTCCTGGCAGAAACCACTTAATGCAAGAAAGCAGAAAGATGACAAAATATAAAACTTGGAAAGAAAAACTGCCAGTCAACAAAATAAAATAAAAAGTCTAATAAAATGGTGTTTCAATTATGATGGCAAAATCTGAACAATTCTAGAAAAACAATTTCATTAAATATATGTTAAAAGGTATCCTTGGACAAGAGAGAAAAATGCCAGGCAAAATTTGTCATTAAACAGATAACATTATACATACAATGAAGTCTAGTAAATACCACTATTATACAAATATAGCAATCAGAGCCAAAGACAAGGAAATAGATGACTTCTACCAACTTCTGCAGTCAGAAATTCATTGAACATGAAATCAAGTTGAATTAATAATAATGGGTGACTGTAATGAAAAGTTGGGAACATGGAAGAAGGCTCATTAGTTGAAAAACATGGTCTTGGTGACAGAAATGAAGCTGGGGATAGAATTCTGCACAATCAATGATTTATTCATTGCAAATACCTTTTAAAGAAACATAAACAAAAACTATACACATGGATTTCACCTGATATGGTATGCACAGGGATCAGATAGATTACAATTATGGAAAGAATCACTGAAAAAGTTCAGTATCAGCTGTGAAAACTAGTCCAGGATTGTGGAATAGACAATCAACTACTCATATGCAAGTTCAAAGTAAAGCTAAAGAAGGTTAGTTAAATCTGCAGGAATCAAAATTTGACATTGAATCTATTTCCCCTGAATTTAAAAACCATCTCAGGATGTGAGGTACTGAACACTAAACAAAGACTAGATGAGCTGTGGGAGGACATCAAGAATATCATAATCTAGGAAGAATGCAAAAGGTCATTACAAAGACATAGAAAGAAGGAAAGACCAAAACTGCTTTCGAAAGAGACTCTGAATATCACACTAGAGTGTCAAGAAACCAAAGCAAAGGGAAAAAATTCAAGAAGTCAAAGGGCAGCTCACGAAGAAAAAGTATTATAATAAAATGTGCCACGAGTTGGAGTTCAAAAATCAAAAGGGCTGAACTTCACTGGGCTTTCCTTAAGCTAAAGGGACTAAAGAACAAATTCAAACCTTAATTTGCAATACTTAAGGAAGCTATGAGCTCTGGTGGCCTATTGGCAAGAAGCTGTGCTGCAATCCAGAAGGCTCATGGTTCGAGGTCACCAGCTGCTCTGCAGGATGAGCAATCTCCTCCCATGTGATTAACTGCCTTTAAAAACCTGCTGGAGGGTCAGCTATGGCTTGGTTCCAACACTATGGTACACAACAACAGGCAGAACAAGAATGATACAGGAAGCACTGAAAGAAGACAGAAGGAGTATACTGGCACTGGACCAAAAAGAAATAGCTGATACAGAAGAATTTCAAGAAACAACATACGATCAAGAGGCAATGAGAATGAAGGAGGAAGTTCAGGCTACTCTGAAGGAACTGGCAAAAAATAAGGCTCCAGGAATTGATGTAATACCAATTGATATATTTCAACAAACAGATGTTGTCCTGGCTGTGCTCACCAGGTTGTGCCAAGAAATCTAGAGGACAACTACCTGGCCAAATGACTGGAAGAGATTCTCATTTATTCCCTTTCCAAAAAAAGGTGACCCAACAAAATGTAGAAATTATCAAACATTATCATTAATATCACATGTAAGCATAATCCTGCTGAAGATTATAAAAAAATTTAATGGAACAGTACATCAACAGAGAGCTACCAGAAATACAAGCTGGGTTTAGAAGAGGTTGTAGCACTATGGACAATGTCAGATGGATCTTGGCCAAAAGCAGAATACCAGAAGAATGTAAATCTACATTACAATGACAGTGTTGATCACAACAAATTGTAGTGAACCTGGAGGAGATTGGGAATCCTTAAACACTTGATTGTGGTCCTGAGAAACTTATACTCAAATCAGGAAGCAATTCTCAGGACAGAGAAAGAAAATACTACATAGTTCAAAATCAGAAAAGGAGTGCCCTTATCTTTTCAATCTATATATGGAACAGATCATTTGGGAGGCTGGGCATTATGACGAGGAATGAGGCATCAGGATTGGAGGAAGACTCATCAACAACTTGTGATATTTAGATGACATAACTTTGCTTGCTGAAACTGAAGAGGGCCTGAAGTGCTTGCTACAGAAAGTCAAGAATTATAGTCTTCAATATGGATTTTAGCTCAATATTAAGAAGACAAAGATTCTCACCAGTTGGCCAAATGACCGAATCATGATAAGAGTCTATGCAACATTAAAGAACAATAAAGAATTCATTAAATAGTATATCAGATGGATCAATACAGAAAACATATTTAGTGAAATAAGTGCATCATAAAAGGACAAATATTGTATACGACTATTACAAAAGTTAAAGAAAGATTCAGAGAGACAGAATCATTCTTAGATGGCTGTGAGGGACACAAAGGGAGAGAGGGGAGTAAAGTCAGTAAATAGATAATAGACACCTATTAAGCTGAGTGAAGGGAAAAGCAATGCAACAAGGGAATGGTCTGCACATCATCACGACAGAAAGTGAGCACAAGCAAGGAGACCCCTACCAGAAATACAGTCAATATGCTATAAAGAAATAATATTTTTTTAATAAAAGAGCAGATATAGAGGTAGTAACTTGCCAGAAAAAAATACATGTATAGGTGAAAAGGATGGCAATCGTGATTTTTTGGGGAAGGGCAGAAGATAATTCTTTCACATTCATATTTTTGTATGCTGCACATACTCTTTTGTATGAGAGAGCAATGCTTTTTATGTTTCTTAATTATAATCAAACACACTGAAGGAGTAAGTTGTTGGTTCTGCGGCCTGGGAAACAGTCTTAGGAGATCATCAAGGTCAACTGGCAGAAAATAGTCCTCACAGGTAAGTTTCTGTATCTTTCTCTGATGAATACCAACTAAGGTCTTAAACACATGTAAGCATCAAGGCCACCAACTGCTTGTGGAAGGTGGGCAATATCTCATGCAATTAACTCCCTCTGAAAAGCTGCCTGAGGGTCAGGTATGGGTCAATTAAACACATGTAACTATATCATCTCTCCTTGACAGTACAAAGACAACAAAAAAGCAAAGCTTTCTTTTTGTAGTCAAACAACTGGTCTGAACAATTTCACAGTAGAAGATGAGTGGGTGAAATGTAGAACAAAACTCAAAGCTATAAAACAGGGCAGATTCCAAAAGAGACTCATGGAACACACAAAACTATAACCACGCATCAAACCTGGAATAAAAGACCCCCAGGACTCTACTTACACCCTGATAACAGGGCTATCAGGAAAGGGGCACATCAGGGTGGTAGTCTTTCTTCATACAATCCATAAATTGAGTAAATAATTCGACAAATTAAATATGAAGAAGATTGTAACATCAAGATTAGAGGAAGACTCATCAACAATGTCCATTACGCAGGTAATACAAGCTTGCTTGCTAAAAGTGAAGATGACTTTTAAGAACTTGTTGCAGAAAATCAAAGATTGAAGCCTTCAATATGGATTACATCTCAACATCAAGAACAGAAAAAACCTCACTACTGGGCCAGTAGGCAACAATGTGATCAATGGAGAAAAGGTTTAAGTTGTCAACAATTTCCTAATACTTAGATCCATAATCAACACTCACGGTAGTAGCAAATTTAGAAATAAAAAGACATGCTGCATTGGGGATATCTGCTGTCAAAAACCTCTCCAATGTGCTTTAGGTGTCAGTTTAAGCAATAAAGCACATGCACAAAGATGTCTAAAGTGTGTCTGATCCAAGCCGTAGTGTTTTCAATTGCTTCCGAGGCATCTGAAAGTTGGACAATGGTAAGTATGACAGATTAAGAACTGTTGCCTTTGAATTGTGGTTTTAGAGAAGAGTACTAATTATCTCAAGAATGGCCAAAAGAACAAATCAATCTGTTTTGGAGGAAATGCAAAAGAGGATACTTCTTAGAGACACAGAGGCTCAGCTCACATATTTTGGACATGTTGTCAGAAGGAGCTAGTCCTCACAAAGAGAAATCTTTACTGGGAAAGACAGAGTTATTGAGAAAGAGCAGACTACCCTCAAGATAAACTGATACAGTAACTATAACAATGCGTTCAAGCATAACAGATGGCATGGTGGAAGATAGAACAAGATCTATTTTTCACATGGTTACACTTAGTCAACTTGACAGCACCTAACACAACAGCAGCAAAATGACACAAGAAAGAGCTCATCCCATGGAAGAGTCAACTGCACAAAGTAAAGAAGAGTAGCAATTTGTCCAAATGCAAAGCCCTAAAGACAGGAAGGAGTAGACTAAAGCCTTAATGGAAATGAGAATTATACAGAAATGGGAAAGGATCATTTATATTGAAGGTATTAATGTTATAAAGCAAAATGTGCAGGAATTATTAAAAAAATTAGTAGGTTCTACTTTCACTCAAATAACAACAAAAAAATGAAAAACAAAAGTTGATAAAATACAGATTCTTACCCAAATATTCTGGGCATTTTAAGCAGAACTCTTTCAAAAATGCATTTGCTTTCAAATCAAATGTTCTAAGTTCAATTTGTGTTCCAAATCCCAAGACATCAAATTCCACCACAGGTAGTTCACAATCTTCAACAAGATGATAAAACTGAATTGTAACCTAGAAAAAAGGAAAAGATAAAAAAACCCTGCTATGTAAAACAAGGTCTTGTTTACACTGGAGGCAGTCACCTATGGGGACATACAAACAGGACACAAATTCATATATTATAAATTTAATAGTTGGGAGAAATTTTATGTACAATACACATTTGTTATAAAAATTATAATTTTATATATATAAAATATCCACAATGTTATCTAAATTCTTAATTAAAAGTATTAATCATTAAAGAGAACAAAAAGTACTCATCAACATCTGCATTTGGCTTAATCAAATAGAAAAGATCCCATTGACTAGCAATGAGGCAGTCTATTCATAGCAAAAATTATGAACTACTTTAAGTATTATTAATGTTATCATAGCACATACCTTTGGTACTTCAAATCTTATACTAAATTGAGTCATATTTTTTTTAATCTCCTCCTTTAAAGGCTTTTTAGGAATGTAAAATTCAGTTCTAGACAGAACTTGAAGAGGCTCTTCCAATGGACTAGATGGTGCATCAAAAAATTCCTCCTCTGATTCTAAATTTGATAGACCATAGAGAAGTCAATAATCAAAACAACTGATTTAATCACATTTTTAACTTTCCCAAAACAGAGATGAACATTTAAAACTAAAAATAAAGTCAATCACCATTGGACCTTGCCCATCATTAACTCATTTTATAAAACATAATGCATGAGAATGATTGTATGAACTACAATATGAATAGTGTGAAACACAATGCTTATGAACTTTGTGAGTAAAGCAATGTAAAATTAAATAATTTAAAGAAGCCACAAAATGTAAAAAACCCAAAAAAATATTTTTAAGAATTAAACAGGAAAATATATTCTATTCCCCTTGAATAAATAATCTTGATTGTTAGAAAAAAGAATTGTTCAAAATGTAATCATTAGCTTAATGAACACAATTTTTAAATATTCTGGCTAAAAACTAAAGACTTTCTTAAGAACAAATAATATATGAATAGTCATAAGAACAAGGAGTGTAGTCTCTCTACCTAGATAGTGTGACAGGACTTAACTGTAAATTGCAATATTAAAAATAGAGAGCTAGGCCCTGATGTTTCTGGAAATAATTTATGGAATTTGATATTAGAAAGTGATAAATAATATAGGGGGGAAAAAGGACTAGAAAAGCATTCCATCCATTAGTAAAAGTATGAAAGAGGCCACTAAGCAGAACTAAACTGATCTATAGTAACAAGACTAAGGATGAGAAGGTGACCTTACAAGTGTTAATTTCTCCTTTACCATCCCAGTCATAACACAAATGAACCTGTCACGGTATGATCAACGCTGCAATTTTTGTACATGAAATTTTAAGTCTTAAGAATTCAAAAATACAATTTTTTTACATTATAACAGCAAATATATTTGATATAACAATTGTGCAAGTTTTCATATGTAAAATTTTGTTACTAAAATTTTTAAAAAGGCAAGATTTTGTACCTAAATTCTCCAACTAACTACCATATTGTATATTAAACACCTATAAAATTTCATTAAGTCCCTTAGCTTGGAGCATGTAACTTACTAGTGCTTCTTCTGTTTTAAAATATCTAACCCACTACAGAAAAGATTTTATGGAAAATTCAAATTGCACTGCTTAAAAAAAATTTTAATAAAAATTTTATTTTATACCGGTTTACTTACAAAGTTCATATACATCGTTTTTCACACTGATCTTTCCCATTTCCTTTACCCATCCCTCCCTCTACCCATTAAACTGTTCAACCCTATGCTTACTCCCCTGCCCATTTTTCCCCCTACCCATTTTAAAGAAGTTTTTGTAAAAATTTCTTGAAAATTATTTAAATATCTCCTACTGTTCAATTTCTATCTGGCTATTTCAATAAAACAGGCCTCAAAATAAAATTTATTTTCAAAATATTATTCTAAAAAGTAGTATTTCCTTAAATAGCTTTATATTTTACCCTCTTCAATAATGGGTGGAAGTTCCAAAAGAGAAAGCACTTTCTGTGAAATCTGCGTTGTTCCAAAAGAAGTGGATCTTTGAACCTGAAAGAAAAGCACTACCAATTACATAAAGCACTACCAATTACACAGACTCCTGGTCAGTGTCCTAAGATGATTTTGATAAAACAGATAATACAGAGAATAAATTATTACATATATAAGGAGGTGCATTTCAGAATTTAGACACCACATATAAGCTATGGCTGTTCGCCAAGTTGACTGACTTATAAGCTCAGAATAGAAGATTTCTACAGGTTTGGTTTTTCCTGTTTGGTCTAGAAGTGATAGTGGAGATTTGTGCTACAGGTTTTAAAAGCAAGTTTTCAGCAGCAGAAATATCATCTTTGCAGACATTGACGGGTGAGTACAAATTACGAAGCTTTTTGTCTGCAGGCCAACACTTCAAAGACCTCTTTACACAAGCAATATGATTGTTATAATAATCTCCCTGATGATAGGCATGCAGTAGGTAGAAATTTTGGAGATCTTTAACTCAACATTATTCTAAATAAGAATCACCTCCAAAGCATCTGAGAAGTTTCTATTTTCTTCTCAATTTTTAAAAAGATGTTTCATTATTGTTATGTAGACTCCTTCATTAGAATGTCTCTCAATTAAAAAAAAGATGTTTCAGTAAAATTACTTTTTTTTAATGCAGGAAAATATAAAAAAATCATAAAATGCAGCTGAAATAGAACTGAAGATCCACGAAAAATAAAATGTCTTATTCCCAAACCACCCCAATCACATCCTCTCTAATTTTTTTATAACTTTCTGTGGATGGTTCCCCGAAGAACATACTGTTTCCACATGCCAGTTTCAAGTGAGATAGTATCACATACAATTTCCTGTGGCTTCCTTTCTTTATAAAACAATATATTTTCATGACCTTTGAAATTTCTTTTAGTTAAGTCAGACAGAAAAAGGCAAATTCCAAAACTCTATGCACATCCAAAAACTTATCCAACAGGGTAAAAAGGGAAGCCACAGACTGGGAAAAAGTATTTGGTAATGACATGTCAGACAAGGGATTATATCTAGAATTTATAAAATACTTGAGCGCCACAAGAAAAGGTAAATAACCCAATTAAAAAATGGGCACAGGATATGAACAGCCATTACACCAAAGAAGACATTCAAGATGGCAAACAAACACATGAAGAAATGTTCAAAATCCCTAGCTCTAAGAGAGATGCAAATCTAAATAACGATAAGATATCATCTCACCCCAGAAAGAATAACAAAATTTAGCAGAATAGTAAGCATCAAATGCTGGAGAGGTTGTGGAGAAACTGGAACCCTCATTCACTGTTGTTGGAAGTGTAAAATGGTGCAACCACTATTTAAGGCTGTATGGTGCTTTCTCAAAAACTTGCAAATAGAGATACCATTTGATCCAGCAATTCCACTACTGGGAATTTACCCTAAAGAAACCATAACTGCCACCAAAGCAGATATATACACACCCATGTTTACTGCGGCTTTGTTCACAATAGCAAAGAGCTGGAAACAAGTGCCCATAAACAAACAAATATATAGAGAAGCTCTGGTTTATTTACACAATGGAATACTGTGCAACACTGAAAAACAAAGAACTCATGAAATATTATGCAAAATGGATGATCCTGGAGGACATTATGCTGAGTGAAATATTTCAGTCACAAAAGGACTAATATTACACAGGGTCACTGTTGTAAAATGGGACTGATATAAGGGTTGAGGGAAGACAGAAAAGGAGGGGAAGAATGATGTATATTACATTGAAACAGCTGAGGGAGAGAACCATTTAAAAGGGATATATGCATGAGTATTCTTGTCATTACAGAAGTGCAGAGTGAAGGGTACATAGTGGAGTGGACTTGATGGGGAGGGACTGCGTAACAGTGGAAGAGATTTTCTTTCTCTTCAAGGAGAAGAGTGAATTGGGGGAGAGGGGGTGGGTAGGGAGAAAAGTGCAACAATGAATGACTGGAAACCCTAAGTCTCTGTAAACTTTCACTAATTAAAAAAAAAAAGACAAATTTCATATGCCACTAACACATCATGAATTACCTGCAACCAAAAAGCAGACCTGTTGTGGCCAAAAAGTATTAGTTAGCAGGAGTGAGTGGAAGGGGAAATAGGTAGCTATACTTAAGAGGTGCTGAGTCTCTTTAAGGGTGATAGAAAAACTTGTAAAGAAGAAATAGCTGCAATGATGGCACATTCCAATTTCATTTATGCCACCTCACTGTACATGTAAAAATGGTTAACTTTATAATTTCTCCAAAATTTCTTAAAAAGAAAGCAAAAAGCCAAGTTAGAGTGATAAAATACTTCTAACATGTAACTACAAAGTCCTTTTTTCCAGAATACATACAGAAATCCTACACATCTATATAGCCAGAAAGTAATTCAATAGAGGAAAAGGTAAAAGAATTTACTAACATTTGAGTAAGTTTACATCCCAATGACCAATTAACATATGAAAAAATGTTAAGCATAATATTACCTATAGTAGAGGGAAAATTTACTACATTATCTTCTAGAATATCTAGTAGAATGACTAAGACTAGATGGTACCTGGTTACCACCACTGACCATTTGGAAATTAATCACAACAGATGGTCCTGGACAGACAAGAGAAAAAGAAAATTTCTTTTTTTAAAAAATTTTATTTTATTAATTTTAATGAACGTTTACAGAGATTTTAGATTTCCATTCACTGCTGAATTTTTCTCCCTGCCCACCCCTCCCCTCAGTTCGCTCTACTCTTTGAAAAGTAAAAGAAAAATTCATTGGTATACAATCCCCCCTACCACAACCACCACAACACTCCACTATGAAGCCTTCACTCTGGACTCTTGTCATGACCATAATACCCAGTCATATATCGCTTTTAAACTGTTCTCTCCCTCATCTGTTTCAATGCACTATGTATATTTATACAATTTTTCTGTCCCACCCCAACCTTGATGTCAGTCTCGTTCTACAACAGTGGCACTATGCAGTATTTGTCCTTTTGTGACTGAGATATTTCACTCAGCATAATGTCCTCTAGGGTCACCCATTTTGAATAATATTGAATGAAATCATTGTTGTTCATGCAGCATAGTATTCCACTGTGTGAATATACAACAGCTTCTCTATACATTCGTTTGTTTATGGGCACTTAGGTTGTTTCCAACTCTGCTATCTTCAACAAAGCTGCGATAAACATGGGTGTGCAAGAAAAAAAGGTTTCTTAAAGAACAAAACAAAAAAAATCTTAAAATGGCCATGTATGATAGAGAATGGTGCAACCCCAGAGACTATGGTAGTCATGAACCATCTCTGAGCTTGTAACTCAACTCAACCCTGTGACATGTTATGTGCCATCAAGTTGTTTGTGACTTAAGGAGACCCTAGGTACAACAGCCCTGAAACCTGCTCTATCCTGTGCCAACTTCACTGTCTTCGACACACTCATTCCCACCATCCCAATCACAGAATCGATCCATCTCATTGAACATCTTCCTTTCCTGCGCTGTCCCTCCACCCTTCCAAGCACGATGTCCCTCTCCAAGAATTGGTCCCTCCTTGCAACATGCTCAAAGTGTGTCAGACAAAGCCTCATTGACTCCAAGAAGCAGCCTCGGTTCCACCCTCTCCAAGATCAATCTGTTTGTTCTCCTGGCAATCCCTGGTATATTCAATACTCTTCTCCAGCACCACTGTTCAAAGGCATCAATTTGCTTTCTATCATCCCTAGTCATTGTCCAGCTTTCTGATGCATAGCAAATAAATGTGAAGAGTACAGCCTGGAGCAAGTGCACCTTGGTCTCCAAACTGATGTCATAGTTCTTCAGTGCTCTGGAGATGTTCCTGACAGCAGACTTTCCCAATGCAATTGTCTCTTGATTTCCTGGCAGCTGGTACCAAGAGTGTTGATTGTGGAACCAAGTAAACTAAAGTTGTTAACACTCTCAATATCTTCACCGTCTATCATAATGGTGGCAACTGGCCCAGTGGTGAGAATCTTTGTTTTTCTGATATTGAACTTCAATTCATATTGAAGGCTGCAGTCTTCTGCAGCAAGCGCTTCAGGTTCTCTTCAGTTTCAGCAAGCAGAGGTGTGTTATCTGCATAATGTTGGTTGTTGATGAGTCTTCCTCCAATCCTGATGTCACATTCCTCCTCCCAGAGCCCAGCCTCCTGAATGATCTGTTCTGTATATAGACTGAAAAGGTATGGAGATAGGACACATCACTGGCATACACCCTTCCTGATTTTGAACCATGCAGTGTTTCCTTGCTCTGTCCTGACAACTGCCTCCTAGTCCAAGTTTGCTGTTGTTGTTATATGCCATCGAGTTGCTTGTGACTCACAGCAATCCTATGTACAAGAGCCCTAAACGCTGCTCTATCCTATGCCAACCTCACTGTCTCATCGAGGGTCTTCTTCTCCTGCACCGTTGCTCCACTCTTCCAAACATAATGTCCCTCTCCAAGGACCAGTCCCTCCTTGCAACATTCCCAAAGTATGTCAGATGAAGCTTCAGAATCCTTAACTCCAAGAAGCATTCTGGCTTCACCTTCTCCAGGACAAAGTTGTTTGTTCTCCTAGCAGTCCATGGTATATTCAACATTCTTCTCCAGCAGCTCAAAGGCATCAATTCTCTTTCTATCATCCCCAACTCTCTGATGCATAGCACGTAATTACAAAGACTACAGCCCAGATCAGACGCACCTTAGTCTCCAGCCTGACATCATTGCTCTTCAGTACTCTTGAGAGGTCCCTCACAGCTGACTTTCCCAGTACAATTTATCTCCTGATTTCCTGGCTGCTGTTACCAAGAGTGTTGGCTGTGGAGCCAAGTAAACTAAAACTGTTAACTCTTTCAATCTCTTTGCATAAGCACAATGAAGTATTCTGTGATTCTCATTCTTCTCTGAGTTAGCCAGTTTATTGTGATAAACAGTCAAATGCCTTTACATAGTCAATGTAACACAGATAGACATTTCCCTGGTACTCTATGCTTTCAACCAAGATCCACCTAACATTAGCTATAATATCCCTAGTACCATAGCTTCTTCTAAGCCCAGCCTGCACATTTAGCAGTTCTCTGTTGATATGCTGTTTCAGGATGAATAAATGGAAAATTCATTTCTCTGTAAACATACATTCAAATCACTGTTAAGAAGTTAAAACATAAAATGACAAAGAATAATAAGGCAAACTTGACAAGGATGCAGTGTAAGTAGATCGCTCATAAACTGTTTGTAGGAAAACATATTATTATTAAATTCCTTATGAAATGATTCAGTATTGATTCTTAACCTATGTATACCTTATAATCCAGCAATTTAGAAATTAAGAATATGTTCAACAGGATTGCTTGCACTATAAAAAATTATGCTGTTATGTGTCGTCTAGTCGCCTGCAACTCATAGTGATCCTATGTACAACAGCCCCAAACTGTGCTCTATCCCGTGCCAACCTTATTGTCTCTGACACACCTACCTTCACCACCCCAATCAGAGAATTGATCCATCTCATCAAGGATCTTCCTCTCCTGCGCCATCCCTCCACTCTCTCAAACATAACGTCCCTCTCCCAAACATGATGTCCCTCTCCGAGGACTGGTCCCTCCTTGCAACGTGCCCAAAGTATGTCAGGCAAAGCTTCAGAATCCTTGCCTCCATGGAGCAACCTGGACTCACCCTTTCTAGGACGAATCTGTTTGGTCTCCTAGCAGTCCATGGTATACTCAATACTGTTCTAGTATAGGTTATGCAAAAACATATTCATAACAGCATTATTTTTCATAACCATAAGCAGAAATAAACCAGGGAGCACTGGTGGCACAGTGAGTCAAATGATGGGCTGTTAATCAAAAGCTGCTCCATAGGACAAAGTCTCCTTCTTTAAATATTTGCAGCCTCTGAAACCCAATGGAGGGTGGCCAAGAGTCAGAGTCGACTCAATAGCAATAGGCTTGATTTTGGAAACTACTCAAATGTTCATCATACTTGAACATGTAAATACACTATGGTATATTGATAAAAATAATTATTGCATAATAATGAAAAACGCAGAACACTCAAGTATACTCTGAAGGAGCTCTGGTGACCTAGTCTGTAAGAAGTTGAGCTGAGAGCCCAAAGGTGATACTTCTCTGGTTGTGCAAATCCAGCAACAGTTTCTCAGCAAAAAGATGGACGACAATAGTTCTTGTGCAATTTATAGTCTCAGAAACCCAGTGGAGAGCAGCTATGAGTTAGTTCTAACCCAGCAACCAAATTTTCTTGTTTCTTTATGAGTAATATAAATAAAAAGAATCTATACATATATACAAGTAAGTATATCTGCATACTTACCACAAATATATTCTGAAAAACTAAAGCTGTAAGTAGTTAGGAGACAAGGTGGTTAATAAAAAAACCCTGCAGATTTAATATTTTGTTCCTTTTTTTTTTACTATACTCAAGGGATGCTTGTAGCACGGTAGGTGAAGCATTCAGCTGGTAACTGAAGTCTAACAGTCTGTAGCCACTAGTCAATTGGCTAGAGAAAATAAGGCAGTCACAGCCTTGGAAATCTTGTGAGACAGTTCTGTCCTCTCCTACAAAGCAACCTGATGGTAGAGAGTTATTGTTTTCACTTATTACTGTGTCAATAATTTTTGAAAAGTGACATTTTATATGTTCTATGACTAGACCAGAGGCTCAGTGGTAAGAAGCTGTGCTGAAATCCCTAAGACACATAGTTCAAATAGACATAGACCAATTGCTAAGCTGGAGAAGAATGGGCAACCTCCTCCCATGCGATTAAACTGCCTTTGAAAACCTGCTGGAGGATCAGCTATGGGTCGACTCTGACTCGATGGTAGGCAACAACATAACTGACATAAAACTGATCTGAAATTTTTCCAACTATTTCAAATATTGGTGGTAGGGATCCTTTTTCAAACAATTTTATAAATTGTGAAAGCAACTATACCTGAAAGGACTTTTCAGGATCAGGAACATCAGGTACATATTTAGGTGCTGGGATGCTTTTAACTAATTCCATAATTCCTTGCAGTTTTTTATCTGAAACTCGTAAAGAAATGAGAGGTAACTTGCCAAAAATCTTGAATCTGTTTCAAAAAGACAAACATCATCATAAAGTAATTTTCAATGTAGTGCATTACATAAAATCATCCAAATTAAATGTAATTTTAAGCATTAAAAATTATACATATTTTTAATGGGTAATTCTCTGCTGAGCCAAATTCTCTCCTTTGAATTTCTACTCAAATGTTAATCTTACCCTATTGACCACTGTCAATAGATAAACTAATCTCATCACTTTCCTGAGTTTTTTTTGGGGGGGGAGATTTTATTGTCTTAGGGCTGACAATATTTATTAAGTGCTAATGATGCAGTTTAAAGAGGTCCTGTGCAACAGATTTGCCCACTGCAATATACTCACCCGCTATTCCACAGGAGAAAGATGGGCAATCTCCTCCCGTGAGATTTACAGCCTCTGAAAATTTCCTAGAAGGTCAGTTATGAGTTGGTTCCAACTTGCTTGCATTGACTTTGGTTTAAGATGTTGATCTTTATGAGCTTTATTTCATTTTTGACAACTTTAAATTTTCCTTGATTTGTACTGTACATGTCCTGATTATTAATGCATTCTTGTAGCTATTTCTTCTAATTTTGAGTCATGCCATATCAACAAGTGAAGTCCTGAATACTTTACTACATTAACATTAATAAGGGAGATTCTACTTTGAGGAAGCTCAGCAATTTTCAGTCACATTTTGAGTAATTTCCAACCTGTTGTTGTTAGGTGCTATCCAGCTGACCACAACTCTTAGTAACTCTGAACAACAGATCTGAACCTTGGCCTGTAATTCATCATTTTCTTGAGCTCTTTTATGCTCAAACCTATTGTATTCACTATGACAATCCATCTCATGGACAAGCTTCCTCTCTTTGGCTAACCCTCTATTTTTCCCAGTTGTTTTTCCAAGGACTAGCCCTGCTTGACAATATATCCATCATACATGATATGAATTTTGAAGATGTTGCCTCTAAGGAGCACTCTAGTTGCACTTTCTCCTAAGACAGCCTTGTTTGTTCTCTTACTAGTCCATGATACATTCAATTCTTATCTCCAATATCACAATTTAAGGCATCAATTCTTCTTCGGTCTTCCTGATTCATGGCCTAACTTTCATATGCACGCAAAGCAAATGAAAATACAATGAGGCTTGGATCAGAAGTATGTTTAAACAAACATCTTGTTCTGTAGCTCTTTAGAGAGCAGCAGATATTACCCATGCAACATGGCTTGATTTCTTTTTATTTTAATTATTTTTTAGATTTTATTTTATACTGGTTTACTTTAAAATTTTATAAAGTTCGAATACAATCATAAGGTCACACAATTTGATGGGTGGAAGAGGGTGGGTAAAGGAAATGGTAAAGATCTGGTGTGCAAAACAATGGCTTGATTTCTTGACTGCTGCTGCAATGGGAGTTAATGAGCAGACAAACAAAATTAATTCCTTTTCCACCCAAAGTTAACAACTTCAATCTTTTTTCTATGTCTCATGACATTTCCTAATGGTGATGGTAAGGACTTTTTCTTGATTCAGCTGATGCTTCTCTCCTACTGTTCCTAAATGATTTCAGTATTTCAGAAGTAGATTACCAGATCCTTGTTCTCAGGCTGTTTCAGCTGACAAGCTCTGCTCAAAAGTGTCTACCAAAGGTGACCTGGCTGGTACTTCCAAGTCATTATAAGAAAAGAAACTAGAAGTTATTACTCACAGGCAATAATCCAAGGTGTTGGAACCTGAGAACTATCTAGTTCAGGTAAAATAAAGAGCAGTTTATCTTAATCCGGTGTGGAAAATAATGTATATGAACTTTGTAAGTAAAACAGTATAAAAGAAAAAGTTTATATTTAAAAAAAAAAATTAAAGTGATTAATTAAAACTAAGACTCGTTAAAAACCATATTAAAATTCTTTCTTGATGAGAAGTTAGTGAAGCCATAATTAGTGTAGAAAATTTAATAAACAACTGTATTAAAACCTAGTGTTACTAAATTTATTGAACATACTAACAAACATCTAAGTGAAAGTTAATGTTGTCTATCATCAAGTCAGAAGTGAACCATAGTTGTCCTTCCAGCAGGTTTTCAGAGGCAGTTAATGGCATGGGAGGAGACTCATCCTTCCTCCATGGAACAGCTGGTGGATTTGAATTGTATGCCTTCAGAACTGCAGTGCAGCTTCTTATCACTAGGCTAACAGAACTATATATTTATATATCAAAAAAACCTAATAATCATGTTTGAAAATTATTTCTATGTTTACATTTCTGAAATTAAAGCGTAATTCTGAAATGAAACTTAATTAATGACGTATAATCACTATCAGCCTGATTATAGTCTAGCATTTAAGATTTGTATTTACTTCTACTAACACTTAGTTGTCCTGTCATGCATTTTTTCCCCTAAGTAAATCTCGAGGAGCTCAGGTATCATGCTGCTAATATAAAGGCCTTGCCTTTCTGGTGGTTCAAATGCACCAGAGGCTCTCAGCATAAGGATGGGCAATCTCTTCCAGTGTGATTTACAGCCTCAGAAGCCCAAAGGGGATCATTTCTGAGTCACCTCCTCACAAGAGCAGTAACATGGATGGGGTAAAATGTCAATGATACATCTTACAATTTCTTAAGGGTCAATAGCAAGGTCTACCTACTTGGGCATCCTTAAATCTGTGACAACCATGGCCTTCGAGAGTTCAACATTGAAGTGCATAGGTACCAAAATATGTTGTGTAGACACATTGAGCTTTCGAGCTTCTTTCCAATTATCACCTAATTAAAGAAAACAGTGCATATTTATCGCATTTAAAATTTTAAAAACACATTATACTTCAGTATTTAATAACTAGTAAATAATAAAGTTCTAAGAAATAATTTAATTATTGTATGTCATATGCTGCTGATTAGAGGGAAACTTTTCACACTGTTACATTTCCAGGACATAAAATTAGAATGTCTTTTCCTCCCACTTTCAATAATTTCCTACTATTGTTTCAAACAACTCTATTTTAACAGGAAAATGCTTACTCAAAGCATAAAAAAAAATACACTGACGTCCACTTCAACTAGGTATCTCATCTAACAAGGGTAACTGTAAGGCAATAATGAAGCTGGCAGAAGGAAAGGTTTTCTAATAAGACAACTATCACTTATCCAAATTTATAACTGGTATTCTTTCTAATATATGTTGTTGTTGTTGATGTGTACCATCTAGTCCAAACTGACCGATAGCTGACCCTCCAGTAGGTTTTTAAAGGCAGTTAATCGCATAAGAGGAGAATGCCCATCCTTCTCCCCCAGAGCAGCTGGTGGCCTCGAACCGTGTGCCTTAGGGACTGCAGTCCAGCTTCTTGCCACTAGGCTACCAGAACGCCTTATTTCAAATTCTATTTAATTATCAAAATTCTATTGCTAAGGGAGCTCTGGTGGCCTAGTGGCAAGAAGCTGCACTGCAACCTCAGAGGTAAGCGGTTCAAATCCACCAGAGGCTCTGCTGGAGAAGGAGGGGCAATCTCCTCCTGTACCAGTCAGATCCGATTTGACGGTACACACACACACACAAAAAAAAAAAAATAAAAAAAAAAACACAACAAAAACTCTATTACTAATATATAAGTGTTATTTTATAAACAGACCCAATAGTTTATTATTTGCTTATCACTGTTAGTATTATATACTATCAAGTTGGGATCAAACCAACAATCCTCCAGTGGAATTTTAGAGGCAATAAATCACATGGGAGGAGACTGTTCATCTTTCTTCGACGGGGAAGCTGGTGGAGTTGAACTATGCACCTCTGCACTGGCACTACAAGAATGAAATTGTCACAGCTGCAGCAATGCCAAAGAATCAGAGACTGATAACTAAAACCTAACTGTCAGCTCCTGGAAGACAAAGCCAAAAAGATGAGCACTTGGAGGAGAAGTGGGTGCTTTTGGTCACTTGCTAAGGGAGTAATTGCCAACCTAAGCAGTTAAATGCCCACAAGTCTAGGTTTACTGGCAGAATAGATGTGGCACACAATTGGCAGAGCTAAACAAACTTTGTTAACCCTTGCCGAGCACCATAGTGGCTATGGTCATGAGGCAGAGAGGAAGAGAGAAAACTTTCTGTAAACTCACCTGAAAGGAAGCTATACTGACTCAAACTGTACCCTTGCATATTCCTGTTCCTAAACTGTAACCATTACTACCCCAGTAAAACTCCTAACAGTAAAAAAAAAATTCTCATGCAGTTCACCTAACCTGGGATCCTATGGCAGCATTTACTCCAGTGTTACAAGCCTAAATGTAAGACAACAGTAAGTAACTGACAGCATAACCTTACACTGTGCTACAGAGAATAAAAATTATTCATTCTTATGCCCAGAATAATGCCAATAAATAAAATATCAGGCTATAAAGTCATATAAATAATGCCAAAAGTACAGTCACAATAACAGCTCCATACAGGCACATTCTACATACTTTGAACAATATACTAAAAGGACATACAACAAAATACTAGTATCTGAACAGCAAAGCAAAAGATGATATGTTTTTCCGTACTGTTCGGATTTCACAATTGGTTTATGTTGCCTTTAAGGTTAAAAATAATGTATAACAAATGAATAGCGTTTATATAATACATATAGGGGAACTCCGGGGCCCAGTCCATAGGGAGTTGTGCTGCTACTCTTAAGGAAGCCTGTTCAATTTCACCAGGAGCTCTAAAGGAGAAGAGGAATCTCCTCATCTGAGATGGTCAACTAATCATCAGCTCAAAGCAACAGCAATGAGTCTGAGATATATGGCTGTACATTTCATAGGAGCCTTTGTGGCATAATGGCTATGGACTCGGCTCCAAACCAATAGGGGAGTGACTCAAACCCACCAGTGACTCCCTTGGTGAAAAGACCTGGCAATCAGCTCCTACAGGGACTCCAGTACAGGAAACCCTACATGGGGAGCTCACTGGGGCCCAAAAGGTCACTATGCAGCAGGATCAATATAATGGCACAAACAACAACAAAAATGCATTTTTATATGCAGTATCTAATTTGAATGTAATTACCCTATGACTGAAAAAAGGTCAAGGAAAGAATAAACTCTTAGAAATAATTGATAAAATGAATTTTATTATAATATTTACATTTCCACCAATATTGAGACAAAAATTTCCTTAAGTTTCCATTTTACAAATTAAAAAATAAGATATTTAGAGCATGTTTTTCAGTATTTATCAAGCGTATATAACAATTATACAAAGTAATTCATACTGTCAAAAAATCTTCTTCAGTAAGATATATTTAAGAAAATGTTTTTAAAACTATTCCACAAGGGAGCTCTGGTGGCCTAGTGGCAAGAAGCTGTACTGCAATCCCAGATGTGCCTAGTTCAAATCCACCAGATGCTCTACTGGAGAAGGAGGGATAATCTCCTCCTGTACCAGACAGATCTGATTTGATGGTACAACGCACAAAAAATAATAAAATAAAATAAAAATTAAAAAAACCCAAAAACTATTCCACAGAAGCCATTTAACAATAGTCTTTAGATATAAACAATGCAATAATTTTAAATTCCCTCCCAAAAGCATCATAAATGGTTCATGAACTTTAATAACTAGTGACCAAATATACCTATAAACATAGTAAAGTATAATAATTTCATTCTGTGAAATAAATTACTTCCTCTAAATATAATTTATATTCACCACCTTCCACATGAACTAGGAAATGTTAAAAGAGAAGTTCACTAACTCAAAGCAAATATACTTATTGAAAACATTCCATCCATATACAAACTAACATTAGTAACAACCACTACTTTGGATCCTTACTCTTCTACTTTTAACAATTAGCTCAGATAAATTAAATTTTGAGCACACACGCTGAGCAAAATCTCTAGGAAAGCCCCTAATTAATTCTACTGTTATCAGAACGTTTACTAACCTGCCAGAGGTTCAAAAGCAGAATGACACAAATGGGAAGCGGCATCAATTAAACTGGGCTCTGTTACTAACTACAACTTTGAGGAACTTACCTGTAAAACTAAATATGGATCAGAGATGTCCATCTGCTAGACTGACATGAATGAAATACAGTGTGCCCAGTTACCCTCCTCACTTTGTACGATTATCTGTGGTCTCAGGCTGTTAGAATTCCTAGGGTATTTTTGTCTGGCCCTGAGAACCTTCTTCTAGTTATTAAAGAGTACCACACAGATACTATTTTCAAAATGTGTCAGTGTTTCCCAACTTTGGAATTACTCAATCTCAGTACAATCATTTTAAGTTGGATAAGAGAGTACTGTAGGGGACTGCCATACACACTTCAAGTTATTTAGCAAGAACTTTTTTCCACACACACAAATGTTTATAGCTCTACTCATCCTGTGACAATGAAAAATGATTCCTAGGAGACAAAAATCACTCACAGTTGAAAATCCTAGACTTAAGTAGTATCTCATCATGTCTATTTTAAAAAACCAAACACATTAAAGGCAATGAAGCATTGAAGATGAGGTGCTGTATAAAAAGTAAAATTTAATTCATCACAGAAGCATCAAACCAACCAAGAATTAAATCACATGATACTTACCAACTCTGCTGTAGAGCAGCTGCACACTTGTAAGCTGAACATCAAATGAGTCGTAAGCTCTATGCATTATCTCTTCAAGATTGACTTCACCCAGTTTTACATCTGGTAACTCCACACGATTTTTACTTGTTACCTTAAAAGTTAATTTTCATAATTTAGGCTATCTAAAATACTTTAAAGTATAATAAAGCTTTTTAATCTTTCACAAATATAAAAATTCACTGCTGTTGTTGTTATGTGCCATCAAGTAGCTTGCAACTCATAGCGACCCTGTGTACAACAGCCGTAAACTCTGGTCTGTCCTGTGCCAATCTCATTGTCTCCAACATACTCATCCCGATTACCCCAGTCACCGAATCAATCCATCTCCTAGAGGGCCTTCCCCTCCTGTGCCTGCCCTCCAGCCTCCGAATCATGATGTCCCTCTCCAAGGACAGGTCTCTCCTTACAACATGACCAAAGTATGTCAGCCGAGGCCTCAGAATCCTTGCCTCCAAGGAGCAGCCCAGTTTAACCCTTTCCAGGATGAATCTGTTTGTTTTCTTAGCAGTCCATGGTACCCTGAATACTTTTCTCCAACACCAAAGGTCAAAAGCATTAATTCTCCTTCTATTCTCCTTAGTCATTGTCCAACTCTCTGATGCATAACAAGTGACTGGAAAGACCATGGCCTGTATCAGACACACCTTAGTCTCCAGAGACACCATTGCTCTTCAATATTTTAGAAAGGTCCCTAACAGCAGACTTTCCCATTGCAATACGTGTTTTAATTTCCTGGTTGCTAGTGCCAAGAGTGTTGATTGTGGAGCCAAGCAGACTAAAGCTATGGACAACCTCAATCTCTTCACTATCCATCCTGATGCTGCCAATTGGCCCAATGGTGAGAACCTTTGTCTTCTTGACATTGAGCCTCAATCCATATTGGAGGCTGCAGTCCTTGACCCCCTGCAGAAAGAGCTTCAGGTCCTCCTCAGTTTCAGCAAGCAGGGTTGTGTCATCCGCATAACGCAGATTGTTGAGAAATCATCCACCAATCTTGACCCCACATTTTTCCTCATAGAGCCCAGCCTCCCAGATAATCTGTTCCGCATACAGGTTGAAAAGGTATGGAGACAGGACACATCCCTGGCGTACACCC